GACTCTTTCTTTCTCTCGATCCTAACCTAATCTAACACCAACACAGCCAGTTCATGAAAGCATCCATGAAAATGATAGATACACCTCCATCATTTTTCTTGTCTATTTGTTATATTTTATAAATCAGAGATGCGCAAAATATATCAAAACGGCCAGGCCTACTGTGCAGCATTTAAGGGGCAAGATGATTTAGAAACATCGGGCCTGTTTAAATCAAAATTTAAACACGATGCTTCAGAATCCAATAAATGGATGAAACGTGGACATCTCGTACCGTACGTTCCGTTGTTATAAATGATTGGTCGTTGAGAGCATCTAATCTAAAAAAGTTAAGTGATGCTCCATTTTCCTCGAGTGGTTGGGACATGAGCACTAGCTCTTGTCTTTGCCCTATATGGCTTATGGTTATAGCGCCATTACTCGTTTTCTGAAAAGAAAATGTATATAAACTAAAAAAAACGGGTCTCTAATCAATCTACAGGAAAAGATCGCTAAAACTCACAATGACTCGCGAACTTTTTCTTTTGTGTGCCTATATTTACCGTAACTAGGAATAGGAAAGGAAATGTCGATGTAGTACTTACTCAACGAGAAGCCACCGAATTAAAGGCACCCTCATAAGTACTACGGAGTTGGGGTACGGTATAAGGGCAGGATACGCCTCAACCAGGTGATACAACCAAAAGCATATGATTCTTTTTTTTAGGAATTTGATTATAAACCCACGATCTTATGCACAGTAAGCAAACCCAGCAGCTGCTAAGCTAGCCGAGCTCCTCAATTTGTTTTCTTAGTACTGTATTAGTGAAATTTATATGGAACATAATGTGACGAGCTAAATAAATAAAAAGAAAGGATCTCACCCGAATGATCTTTGAAGCTCCCGAATAAAGTTCAGAAAAGTTTCTTGGATCTTGATTTTGGAAAACCGCTACTCGTTGCCAGCCCTCGGAAAGAGATGCATCAAATGCAACAGTCCAGCATCTCTCGGTATAACTATAAGCCTGCTGGATTCACACCATCGTGATCATCTGGGGATCTTCGTTGCCCATCAGCTAAGACAGCTCCCAACAAACACCACTCCTGGATCTTCCTTTTTCACTTATCATCCGCCATGGTCTGTGTTGCAATATGTGGCGACCCCCCGTATCATCATTCCCACTGACGTTGCCGACACCAACACACAGACACAGGGATTCGAGGTAGAGTAGAAAAAGAGCGCAGCTCGCTATCTGTAAACGTTCTAAATATTCGCTTAAATAAATAATTATAAAACGTGGAACCCGTGTTTGAGGTTGAATAAAACATGGTATCAGAATTATTATTATTTAGCTTTATTAAGGAGGCTTTCAACCTTGGGCTGGTTCGCCTCCACAAATGGTATCAGAAGTGATCGCGTGTTTCGAATAGTTTTTCCGGCGTTATTTTGTGTAAATCGCGGAAAAATCGGTGAAAAGACTTGTGTACAAATTTTCGCATCACGGCGCGTCGGCGGCCATTTTCTTCGAAGTGGAAAAAGTTACGGTTGATCCTCATCGACATGGATCCCAACCAATTTAAAATGTTTCTGGAGCACCAGACGAACATTTTCACGCAACTTATGCAAACAATGAATGCAAAGGCTACAGCGACAGAAACATCCTCGTTGCAGCAGCAGCGTCAACAACAAACGGAACGGCAACGACCGTGTGCTGCAAATATTCCGGTTCCCCTACCATCACCTCTAGTACTGGAAGGTGACATGGAGGAGAACTATGATTTTTTTAACAAGAGCTGGACGGAGTATACTAAGGCAATCGGAATGGATCAATGGCCACCGGAGGATAACACCAAGAAAGTAAGCTTCCTGTTGACGGTCATCGGTGAACCTGCAAGAAAGAAATATTACAATTTTGAACTCTCTGCTGAAGAATCAGCAACAACGGAAACCGCTCTTCGTGCTATCAAGGCCAAAGTGGTAGCAAAGCGCAACATAATCGTGGACAGATTGGTTTTTTTTTTCTGCGATCCAGGCCTCTCAGGAGTCGATTGACGAGTTCTCTACTCGTCTCAAGGGATTGTCTAAGGTTTCTAAATTTGGAGCCCTCGAATCGGAGCTTATTACGTACAAAGTCGTCACTGCAAATAAATGGCAGCACCTGAGAACGAAGATGTTGACGATTGCAGATATAAACTTGGATAAAGCGGTAGACCTCTGTCGTGCTGAGGAGATCACAGCTAAACGGTCGCAGCAGTTGGGAATTTATGTTCCGGAATCCGAAGTCAACAAAGTATGGGACAACAAAACAAGCAAAGCAAAAAGTCGATCGAAACATTCCAAACAGCTACGGTGTAAGTTCTGTGGAGACGCACATGAATTTTCGAAAGGACAGTGTCCCGCCTTCGGTAAACGTTGTCATCGCTGCAACGAGAAAAACCATTTTGAGAAAGTATGTCGTGCAGCGGAAAGATCGAAGAGTTGGAGATCGCGACGCGTCAAGGAGGTAAAGGATGGAAGCAACTCGAATAGTGACTCTTCTGGAACCGAGGATTCGTCGGAAGAAAGTGAACAGGAATACTTGATCAGTAAGATTTTCGACAACACGACCAACGGTGGTGGCGTAGTAGCGGAGCTAGACCTCAAGTTTTCCAAGTCATGGAAGTCCGTTCTATGCGATTTGGATACAGGAGCCAACACGAGCCTAATCGGCTATAATCGACTGATCGAACTCACAGGGGAAAGCAAGCCTTCATTACAGCCATCAACGTTGAGATTGCAAAGTTTCGGTGGCAGCCCGATCAAGGTTCTAGGTCAGGTGAAAGTGAAGTGTCGTCGATTGAACCGTAAGTATCGTTTAGTATTGCAAGTCGTGGATGTCAATCATCGGCTCCTACTATCGGCCAGGGCATCTCGAGAGCTTGGCTTTGTCAAGTTCTGCGAAACTGTCGAGTTCATATCAGAGCCTGGCTCATCATCGGAAAAATTGCTGAAAGTATACCGAGTGGAAGCACAGCAGATCGTGGAGAAACACCAAGAGCTTTTTGAAGGATATGGAAAATTTCCGGGTACGGTGACACTGGAACTGGACAATTGCATTACACCCTCAATTCAATCACCTCGTAGGGTGCCTATCGCATTACGCAACGAACTCAAAAAGGAATTGGAAACTTTGGAGCATGACGGTATTATTGTGAAGGAGGCGAGTCACACCGACTGGGTGAGTAACCTGGTATTGGTTCAGCGAGGAGGGCCGGGCACCGGCGTACGAATTTGTATAGATCCCGTTATGTTGAACAAAGCGCTACGTAGACCAAACTTGCAGTTCACCACGCTGGATGAAATTCTTCCTGAGTTAGGGAAGGCTAAAATATTCTCCACGATCGACACGAAGAAAGGATTCTAGCACGTAGTCCTAGATGAGGGGGCTTATTACGGATGTCACTTCACGGTGAAAACTTGTCACTTGTTGTCACGGTGAAGTGATTCCCATTTGATTTGTACGGCAATCACAGCTCTTATTATGAGTATCACTTCCTTATCACCGTGTAGTGACACCCGTAATAAGGCCCGAGAACAGCAGTAAACTTACAACATTCTGGACACCATTCGGAAGATACCGCTGGACTCGTCTACCCTTCGGAATCGCATCAGCACCGGAGATATTTCAGCTCAAGCTGCAAGAAGTGATCCAGGATCTGAAAGGAGTAGAGTGCATTGCTGACGATCTGCTCATTTATGGAGTAGGAAATACGCTAGAAGAAGCGTTGGTGAATCACAACAGTTGTCTGAAGGCACTGTTTCATCGGCTGAAGGAAAACAATGTCAAGCTAAATCGATCAAAACTAAACCTTTGCCAGACGTCGGTTAAGTTCTACGGTCATGTTCTGACTACTCAAGGCATCCGTCCAGATGAATCGAAAATAGCAGCCATTGAAAAATATACAACACCAAGCAACAAAAAGGAGGTTCATAGGTTCATTGGTATGTTTAACTACCTGAGTAGATACATTCGCAATCTCAGTGTCAATCTTACCTGCCTTCGGAAGCTCATCTTGGACGCCGCACATTGGCAATGGACATCAAACGAGCAGGAGGAATTCAACTTGGTAAAGTCTCTGGTATCCAATATCGGTACACTGCAATATTATGACGTTACACTGCCAATAACAGTCGAGTGTGATGCAAGCTGTTTTGGGCTGGGAGTGGCCGTTTTTCAGGGAAACGGAATTATCGGTTACGCTTCTAGAACATTGACTACCACCGAGCGAAATTACGCTCAAATAGAAAAGGAGCTTTTGGCTATTGTTTTCGCTTGCATCAGGTTTGATCAGCTGATTGTGGGAAACCCAAAGACAACCATCAAGACGGATCACAAACCATTAATCAACGTGTTCAACAAAGCACTTCTATCAGCACCAAGACGACTTCAGCATATGTTGCTGAAACTCCAACGCTACAACCTTTCATTGGAGTTTGTGACCGGTAAAAATAATGTGGTAGCAGATGCTCTTTCGCGTGCTCCAGTCAATAATCAAGAGAGCGCGGATAGATATGAAAAGCTGAATGTCTACACGATATTTGAGGAAGTATCACAAGTGAAGCTCAGTAGCTTTCTTGATGTTTCAGATGCGAAGCTTACAGAAATAGTACAGCATACAGAGGAGGACCAATCGTTGAAGCTCGTTGCAGGCTACATTCGACAAGGTTGGCCGAAATCGGTCGATCGTGTACCTGACTGTGCAAAAATTTATTTCAACTACCGTCACGAACTAACTTCTCAAGACGGCCTACTGTTTCATAATGATCGTATAGTTGTCCCGCACTCGTTGAGACGAAAACTTGTAGATAGTTGTCATGCAAGCCACAATGGAGTGGAGGCTACATTAAGACTCGCACGAGCAAACTTATGAGTTCCCAGATTAAGGACACTGTCACCCAATGTTCGGTATGTGCCAAGTTTGCAGCATCGCAGTCAAATCCTCCAATGAAAAGCCATCAAATCCCAGTACATCCTTTCCAGATGGTTTCGTTGGACGTGTTCTTTGCCGAGTACAAGGGGTTGAAGTGGAAGTTCCTGGTTACTGTGGACCACTACCCGGATTTCTTCGAAGTAAACCTGTTAAAAGATTTGACTCCTGAAACCGTGATCGCAGTTTGCAAAGAAAACTTTGCCCGTCACGGAATACCACAATTGTTACTGTCGGACAATGGAACCAATTTCGTCAATCGGAAGATGATCCAGTTTGCCACGGAATGGTGCTTCGAACAAGTAACTTCGGCACCTCATCATCAACAAGCAAATGGTAAGTCGGAAGCCGCAGTTAAAATAGCAAAACGATTGCTGAAGAAAGCAGAGGAGAGTAAGTCGGAGTTCTGGTATGCTTTCCTCCATTGGCGTAATATTCCAAATAAGATCGGCTCAAGTCCTGTGGCACGTTTGTTCTCTCGTTCAACTCGTTGCGGCATACCAGCTGGCATCAGTCATCTGCTTCCAAAGATTGTAGAGGACGTTCCATCATCAATTGAAGAACAACGTAAACGAACAAAGCTTCATTACGATAAGAAGGTTCGTAATTTGCCTGTACTGGACATCGGTTCTCCGGTGTATGTTCAACTGGATCCAGCATCGTCAAAATTGTGGACTCCAGGTACTGTTTCCAACCGTTTGAATGAACGCTCGTACCTGGTAGACGTAGATGGTAATCAGTATCGGCGAAGTCTTGTGCATTTAAAGCCGCGTAAAGAACTTACCATGCAGCCACATCGCTCATCGCCATCCAGTCCCGTGGAATCAATGGCAGGAGAAAATCGGAACGCAGACCAACAAACGATTAATGATTCTACTTGTCAAAATAGTCAAAGTATCGCAGCAGCCACACCGCCTACTATGACAGAATCGCAAAATACGCTGTCAAGTTCATCACCACGTGATTTGCAAGCAAATGGAATGCCGAACCAAGTGGAGCGGCCAAGAAGGAAGACACGCTTGCCGGAACGTTTGAAGGATTATCAGTTGGAGCTTTAATTTTCGTTGTAGGGAAGATGTTGCAATATGTGGCGACCCCCCGTATCATCATTCCCACTGACGTTGCCGACACCAACACACAGACACAGGGATTCGAGGTAGAGTAGAAAAAGAGCGCAGCTCGCTATCTGTAAACGTTCTAAATATTCGCTTAAATAAATAATTATAAAACGTGGAACCCGTGTTTGAGGTTGAATAAAACAGTCTGATCTATTTCGATCCCGTCCGATTTTGAACAATTGAACAATCGGAAGTTTGTTAACATATTTGAAATGGTTAAAATCACCAAATGAAAATCAACAGCAAAATTAAAACAGGGTCAACTTTCCAGCGCGACCTACTTCGATCTGACGAAAACACCGAATGTTCGTTATTTTATAAATTGCTGTTATGGCTCGTGTGACACTTGCCTTTGATAAAAAAAACACGGCTACTGAGGATTCATATTTATGAAAGTATCATATATCAATGAAACAGTCATCGGTCGTCATTGAAAAGCAATGCAACTATGTTCTGTCAATCTAATTGAGCTTTTATTGGCTCTGTTGTCTTGTTAATTTTGAGCTATAACTGCCTCTTTTCTGATTTTTATCTCTCAATCTATGAAATATACACGAAAACTATGCTCAAACGAAATTTCTAGAACAATATGAGGAACATTATGCCGCAGACTACACATTTTTATATCATATTGGTGGAAAATTCGTAGAACAAATACTTTAAAATTCTTCACTTTTTAAGATATCTTCGAGCTTGAAACTAAGTCAAACTTCAATAAAATGACTTTGAATAGTCAACCTTTGGTTACAAAGTTGATATATAACACATTAAGCTTTGCAATGAAAGTTGTTACAGCAGTTTTCGTTGTTTCAGTGTCGAGATACAAATATTATAAGCCGCAAATTACCTTAAAAACATAAAACATAAAACATAACCGCGGGCCTACGCTTGGGCCTAGCTCTGATTGCTTTGTTTTAACTTTTTTATGCTGCCTACGAAAATATGGCTGCGTGCAGTCCCTTGGTTGTAAAACTTTGCCATATGATTCCACCCCCTGCAATTTGAACAAGCACTAGACATACTTTATTAAACAAATTCCACATGCACGGCCAATGAAAACACTCAAAATTTAGTAAGAGTTACTCATATTTGAGTTCAGGTAACTTAAATTCGCAAAAACGTATGTCATTCATAGAATGAGTCAATTTTCCGACGCTTTACGAGGAAAACTTCTCGAATATGAGGAAAACTGAGTTTGGTTTTAGTCGTTCTACTACCTGTGTATAATTTTCTTAAATTTTCGAGAAGTTTTCCCCGGGAAAGTGTAGAAAATTTTTGTCATACTATGAGTGACCTACGTTTGAGCGATTTTGATTAATTTGAACTCAAACGCCGCCACGTCACCGCCGTCGCCGCCGCAAGCAAACGGCGTGACGCCGCCACGCCGCCACCGCCGGCAGAAAACAACATATCACGTCGCCGCCGAAAATATTTTGATCGGCGCACAGGTCTAGGCAGGACATGTGACAACGTACAACGAGTCTCACTACCACAACGCAACTGATGCTTTAAAAATATATCTGTACAACAGGTGTAGTTTGAAACATCTAGATCATTCTGACCCTATTTTTTCGAATTTCCCCAACAGTGAACCCAATCCAAGTCTTTGCAAGCATCTACCGATACACGTAACGCTTTAATCCATATTGCTCCAAACTAGTGTCTTCCCCGGTTTTCCCCCCAATGGTGTATCCATGTGCAAGAAACATGGTAAAATACAACACCACTTTGAATCCATTTTGAGTTGCACACCTAGACATGCACTTGCCGGCCGGCTCCAGGATCAATCCAACGTTGCAAGCTGTGTGAATATTTTATTTGTTAATTTTGCTTTCTGCTCAGCTCTGGCGCCAGCATCGGGATCGGGATCGGGTTGGGTCGAGTTGATGAGAATGATAGTTCAAGATGCTACCCGGCGAAACAACAAGTGCCATCAAACCTTTAGACTATCCATATAGTCTTCCAGAAGCTTAAAACTACAACGACCGACATTGCTCTCCTCGACGTTGGCGAACAGATTTGTGCAGCAGGTTAGTGATTTATTTATGAAAAATGAATCTGAATAAATTGATTATAAAACTTAGGATCAAGCAGGAGGACGTGCTGGAGGTGCCCATGTGTCGGGTAGAATGTATTCCCAAGAGTGGATGTTGCCATAGATAGATTTTGACGACTCTTGGGGAATGATGAATGTACCAACCAGGATGCAGTTTAAGTGTTGCCAATTTACAAATGAGTTAAGTTTCTGGTGTTGGGGATTTAAAACATTGAAAAACATGCAGTTGCAGTGAACTGCCTCGTTGTTAGCCCTTGTTGACGATGACAGACGGATATCTCGATGAACATTTCAAATGGTCCTATCTGCTTTGAGCGATTCTCTTCATCGACTTTCTCTTTTGATAACCACTGCTAAGCAAACAGATTTCGCGCTAATGTTCCAACATAGTTTCACGAAGGTTGTTCTTATCTAGCATTCAAAACGTCAAATACAAAAGGGAAAGGTTTTACAGCTGAATTATTTACCAAAGAGAAAGTCGATTAAGAGAATCGATCAATGCAGATAGGACCATTTGAAATGTTTATCTAGATATGATAAATGTTGCAGCTAGGCGTTCTCGTCGTTTTCGCTACTAGTGGGTAGAACCAGAAGAGCGTTTATATTGGAAACTTCTAAGCGATGACTGTAGGGCAAAATCGATACCCGACGCATGCACCCTTATGAAACTTTAGGGTCAAACAAAACGCAAGGAGCAGTAGCTCAGAACACTCAGTTCCGGCTCACCAGACCGGATGAGTGATTAAATATTTGCATTCTGGTTGGCGGACTTGGCAGCCCTCGGAAAGGGGTGAGTTTTTGACGTACAGTGTTGAAAGTTTGACCGTTCGAAAAGCCCCCCAGGCTAGTGTTCATATTCTCGAGCCAACGACGATGCACATATTCCAGCGGGACGCTCTTGGAACGGAAAGTTTTACTACGAGAACGGGCACGGTTTGCTCGAGGGTAAGTTTGACTAACGGTTTTATGGTAAATGCATTTGAAGTGCTTGATTGCTTCTGGATGGAAACGGAAGTCCAAAGTAGAGAAAACTATAGGACGCTTTTCTGGATTTGTGATGAAAATGATATTAACTCGAACCAAAACAAAGGAAAATAGTGGTAATTTGAATTGTATAACCTCATTCACAATAAACTGGACTGATCATACACATATCAAACTCGGTGGGATTCCATCGTTGAGAACGTTAAGCGACAATCGTCGCCCATCCCTGCATGCCGACCACCTGCTTTGTGACACGTGTTTTACAACGATCTTAAAGCACTGCCTCTGGTCATAGGCGCTCTCGTTCGCTATTTTACCAACAAACAACAAAAAGCAGACATTCACCTCGTGCACGTACAAAACGTCGACCAGAATCGTTCCTCCCTGTTCTTTTTTTTTTCGGCAAAAGGGGTGAGGGTAGATTTATGGAATCATTTTTTCGACACACATCCCTAGCTTATCCCGACCTCATAACGACACGTGGGATTCGTAACAAACCAGCAGGAGAGGCCAGAATGCCGTGCAAGATTTATGTTATTAGATTTTCTTCATGGGAAGTTAATAAATTTCACTTTTAACGTTTTATTGAAAAATAAAAACCTACAAATGATGCTGCATTTTTTGGGATGTTCGTGTGTGTGTGTGTGTGTGTTTGGATTTGCGGTAGATCTGGGACGTGACTTCATTCAAACGCACGAACCTGACTGCCCTCGTGAAATCGTACCTAATATCACCCAGCGTGGAGTCTGAGCCATGTAATAACAAAAGTTTTTATTATTGAAATAAAAGGATTTTCACTGCAAGGAAGAGAAAGTTAGTTTCTCGAACTGGTGCGGGCAAAAAGAAAACTTGCTAACCAGTTCAGAGAGTAGGAAAAAGAACCTGGACCACAGGTTGCACGTGTGAGTGTGTCTGGAACCGACTAACTGTCGCGGAACAGTAGTTGCACAAGACACAAAGAGTTGGGAATATGGAAGAAAGTAGTTATTTTTCCTGGTGTCCTTTCCGGTTCTTCCGATGCTTAATCCATTCCGACAAAGTTCTTTGTGCCAACGCGCGAACCCCAAACCAGAGAGTGTGGATCTACGATTGCTTGTATGCGGGATTGTCGGGTCCAGGGAAGATTTTTCTTTTCTTTGGCAATCCAGAAACTTTGGACCACTATTTGTCGAGGCAAAGTGGATGGAACAGCTTACAGAAGCTGTTTCATTTGCCATCTTTTTACGTCTGCATAATGTGGCAGCCGGAGAAAATATAATTTGAAAAGTTTTATTTTCACTAACCATCGAGAATGTTGCAGAGCTGGTTTCCGGTAGGACAGGATTTATTGCCAGACGACAATTGGTCGATTTTAAATGATTCCACCAGATGGTTGACACTCTTTATGAGCAACATATAAATCGTAGGAAACCTTGGAGCAATGATTACATTTAAACCAATTAGTAATTTAAACGGTTTATATCATATGTTTGTTTCAGTGCCGGGTGACCCAATAAGTCTGAGAATTCTGTAATTCGACAATGTCGAGGCAGTGCTGGCAAAATTCATGACCAATGACTTGTAATTCGTGATTCAATAAGTTTAAAAAGTCCATTAATGGTTGCCTTACAGTACTTTTATTAAAACTTCTCCATTGCGAACGAAATCTTGAACCTTCCTCTTGATGGAGCCCATCAGCGCCCGCACAGTGGAAACGGACACGAAATCAGCCATTTTGCCCGCATTTGATGGATGTCCTTGACTGCCCCGCCGCTTCGTCGAAGTCGCTGCTTTGAAATTACCCAGTATTTTTCGATTGGTCGAAATTCCGGGAAATTCGGAGGATTCATTAGCTTGGGGACAAAATCGATCTTGTTGGCAGAATACCACTCCAGAACCACCTTGGAGTAGTGGCAGCTGG